TGATTTTTATGAGTTCGTTGTGTTCACTGAAGAGCTGTGGCAGAGTGAGAAAACCTAACACATACTTAGTTCCCAAATGTGAGTGTTTTCAACTATGTGTAATAACAAAATTGACATAATGATCCACTTCACGGACGTTTAATTTTGATTCTGTCATTTCCTCATTTTAGAGGCGGTAAAATGTTTTGTTTTTTTCCCGTCGCTCAAACATCTTCGAGGCTCCTGCACGGCTGGTGCTGTGCCTCCGGGCCCAGGTGACCTCGTGGGGGAGAAGGAAGGGGCCTCTGAGATGAGAATGTAGTTTTGCTGTTTTCAGTTTATACTCAAAGCGCTGCAGTTTCCTGACACTACAGAGCACACCGGTCACGCCGGCAGGATGAAGCGCGGAGGCTGCCTGATGAAGTGGGCTGCGCGCTAGAAAATCCACGTGCGGAGTAGCTTGGTTCCCTCCACGGGGAGCGTGCCAGGCCCTCTCGGGCGCCGCAGGAGCCTCGCCTTCTGCACAGGCTTCGGAGCCAGGTGCTGGAGCGGCAGCGACTGAGGGGCGTGGATGTCTTTGCACGTTTCCCATGGCAGCGACTGAGGGGCGTGGATGTCTTTGCACGTTTCCCATGTGTTTTTCAAACGTTAATAACGTGATTTTCAGTAAAGTGGCAGAATCAGCATTGAAGAATGGGGAGCAAGTGCGAGCCGCTTTCCTGTGAGTGGTTGAGAAGCAGGCTTTGTGTGGTTGGCAGCCCCCGTGCCTAGCGGCTGCTCAGCCCTGCCCCTGCTGCCCCTGCGGGAGCCGCCTTCCCGGCTTAGAAACAACACTGTCTCCGACTGCTAGTTAGCGGCGGCCTCCACAGAGAAGCTGAGGCAGGTTCGTGTTCTCACAGCTAGGAAGGACGTGGCCCTGGCAGGGAGCTGCAGCACAGCCTCTGGCAACACAGAAGCACTGCCCTGCTGGACCCTTGCCTCCCAGGTCAGCTGTTGCCCGCCCAGCAGCCGGAGCACTTGCTCGCATAGGCTCCTCAGCGGTGCCAGGTGCAGCTGGGGTCCACCCTCAACTGGCCCAATAGTAGCAAAAGAAATGAGCAGTGTCGTGAATTGTTAGACAGCATCCGTATGTTTAAGTTCAAATTAGAGCCGCCCAGCCACACGTGTGGATACAAAGCTGCCATTCAGTGGGGAGCCGGAGCCTAGGGGCCTGTGTCACTCCCCTGGATGTGGATGTGGGTGAAAGTCACCTAGAGGCCTTGCCAACATTCTGGGAGGTGACAAGGGGGCAGGGCCTCTGGGATCTGGGGTCAGGAGTTCCAGGAGGCTCGCTTCTGCTTCTGCCCAGCAGTTCACTGTTCCCTCCACGGCAGCTGAAGCTTCAGCTGCTGCGCGACCCACCCAACCGGGGCAGAAGGGAGCCCTCCATCCCAGGTAGTGCCCTGGTGGGTGTCCATCCTGTGGCAGACACTGGCCGTAGAGGCTGAGAAAGGAGAGAACCCCAGCCTGCCTCTGGAGGCCCAAGGGAGGCAGTGAAGGGCCCGAAGCTAGCGATGCAGGAGTTTCCAGAGCGCAGGGGAATACGGAGACCAGCCCTCAGCTCCACTGGGGAGCCACACAATCTCTGCCAGTGCTGAGTGGTTACAGGGCTCTGTTACCAGCCCCATTCCTCCTGGACGGGCGAGGTCGGTCCGCATCGCACCCCCCAACCTCTTGTGCTCTGTGACCTCAGAATACACAAAGTTGTGTCCACAGGCCTCAGCGGGTGTGAGCCCCTCGCCTACACTGGGGGGATCCTCAGTTGACACCTGAGCCAGTGTCCTGTGCCCCAGTGGTGCCAGGACAGAGTCCCCGTCCCCGACCTGATTTGTGCACCTCCTCACTCACTGCCAGCACTGTCCCCCCACCAACAGGCTTGCTCAGTACAGCCCCAAACCCAAGTCCCTAGCACCCACACCCCAGTGAGTTTCCTGCGCCCTGTAGGCTCAGCTGCTTCTCATCCTCCGCCCACCTAGGATCCTTGGAACAGGGAGTGGTTCTTATTTAGGTCCCTGAGGTACCAGCTACAGGCTTCACTCTTAGCAGCCACCACCCCAGTGATGAAGCTGATAGCCTAAGCAGACTGGCCCCTGCAGAGCTCTGGGGGGAGGTACCTGGCTTCTCCAGCCTCCACCCTGGCCCACAACTACCTCCAGGCCCAGAGCAGGAGATCCCAACCTGGCTGCCCCTGGGGCTGGGTCTCCAGCAGTCAGGACTGAGCTGCTGCTAGCTGCTGACTGGTTCCTTCTGGCTGGGCAGGTGTTGGGGGGGAAGGGGGCGCGTTTGCCCCGTGTCCCCATCAGCTGCATCTCCACACCTTCCCTTGTGACACCTCCGACCAGAACAGACCAGGAGTGTGGGAGGAGCCCCCACCTCTCTCCCAGCTCCCCGGGGTTGTCTTCTGTCTGCTCCTTTTGTCTTCCACACTGAAGAGTGTGCTCCAGCTGGGGATGGGCGTGCGTCGTGCTGAGAATGGACACCTGTGAAATGGTGGTGTGTGCATCAAGTCTAAATAGCTGTTCGCAGGTTCTTAGGGCTTTTTGTTTCCAGAAACCTGATCTGATCTTTATAGAAAGTGCTCCTCTGTACTCCAGCCTGGGTCTTCCTCCCGTCCAGGCCGGCAGCACTGTCTGACTCAGCGAGGAGAGGCTGAAACTGGAGAGCCCCTGGGAAGGCTCTTGAGGGCCAGGTGGCAGCGGGGAGGGTGGCTCTCGTTCCCCGCCCTCATCCTAGCGTTTAGCAGACTGCCCCACACCGCGGGTTTCCATTTTCACCCTTGGGTTAAGAGAAAAGCAGGAATAAAAAGTTTCTAATGTTGCTTGTGAAATTCAGCACTGGCCATCAAAGGCTCCTGGGGCTCAGCCCCACGTCTCTCCTGCCCCTATGGGTCCATTTCCTGCTGTTTGTTGCAACCCGCCTGCATCGTTAGTGTGTGCAGATGAACTCAAGCTGTTTAGGAAGCCCACGGGCAGGGCTCTGTGGGGCCCATTCCTGGTCCCACATCTCTGGCAAGGGCTCCCCTTGAGCTGAGGCTTCTGAGCTCCTCCAGGTGGGTGTAGGGAGGCAGGTCCCGCTGTCAGCCAAGCTGCAGGGTTTTTAAGAAGAAAGTGGGGGCTGCGCACCGTGGGCTCACACCTGTAATCCCAGCACTTTGGGAGGCTGGCCGGAAGGATCACTGTAGACCAGGAGTTTGAGAGCAGCCTTGGTCCTATCTCTAAAAAAATTTAAAAACTGGTCAGGCGTGGTGGCACATGCCTATGGTCCTGGCTACTTGGGAGGCTGAGGTGGGAGAATTGCTTGAGCCCAGGAGGTCGAGGCTGCAGTGAGCTGTGATGATGCCACTGCACTCCAGCCTGGGCCACAGAGCAAGACCATGTGTCAACAAGAAAAAGCCTCTGTGGAAGGGCCTCCAGTCCCCTGGTCTGGGCTGCAGGGGCCGCTGCTCCAGCCCTGCCTTCTACATGTGCCAAGATGTGAGCAGTCAGCCTGGAGATCCTCACCCCTTCTCTATAGAACAAGGAGTCAGGCTGCCAGGGATTGGGGTCTGAGCACATTGCTGTCTCTGTGTGTGTGTGTGTTTCTTGGGAAGAGGGCCCCATGGTCTTCATCAAGAGGGCCCAGTTGGAACGAGTTGGAATTTGGATGGGGAGAAATGTGGAGTAGGGCAGGAACCTCCTTCCTAGGAAGGAGCCTGCGGGGGACCCTGCATGGGGTCCCAGATTCCCAGGGGGCCTCAGGTGTGGTGTTAGAGGGGCGCTGGGGCTGACAGTCTGTCCATGTCTTCAGCCTGGGTCTCGTGAGTTCAGGGAGTTTGAACCTGGGTGGAGAATGAACCCCTGTGTGTCTTCACTAACCTCCAGCTGACACGAGCTTCCGCAGATCCAGCAGTGGCGGGTGTGGGTGCTCCCCGTGCCATCTGTTGGGGACACCTCACGCGTCACTTGCGCTCGGCCCATGTTGCAGCTGCAGGAGCCACCAGACCCTATAAATACTCGGATGCCCACATGTGCTCCTGTGTATCTCCTGTGCCTGTGCATCAGGCCTCATGTGTTTAAAACGTCCTTCTAAGAAGGGGCCACAGGCAAGCGTCACCCATTGCCACGCCACCACGGCAGGAAGCGTCCCATGCTCCGCAGGGGCGGGGCGGCCGCTCTCCCTGTCCTCCAGGAGCTCACGTGTGCCTGCCTGTGAGCGCCTCGACGACAGAGCCGGCGCCCGCCCCAGTGTCTGCGCCGGGACCACAGAGTGGCCAGCTCACCGCGGAGACGTCACACTTTGTAGCAGCGCCTGGACTTATATGCGCTTCTGATATGATGTGTTTTAATCAGTATAAACGTGGAAGGGGGAGAGCGTGGGACATTCCACTGGTGTCCTCGGGAGGAAGTAATGGGAGGGAGGACAGTTGGGGGGATTCACCTTTAAAGAATTTGAGAGCTTGTGTATTTTGTGGAATAACGGTAAATTAATCCCCGGTGTGTTTCTGATCATTAAGAAGACCCCATCGATGCTGTTGGTCGTGGGACTGTCATTTCACAGTGCGGATCCGAAGGTGGTCCTGGCTACTCTGCGAGGGTTGCCCTGGGAGGAGGTGGTGGAGGGCACGTGGGCGTCCCGTGTTCCCTCATGACGGCTGTCGCCTGTAGTTGCCTCAAAAGGCTTAATTTAAAAAACTCTTGTTTCTCAGAAAAAGCAGTTTATTACTGTGAGTTAACACTATGGAATTCTAATAATTGGGGTAATAAATCTGATTAAGGTTTTCTTTAAACTGGAACAGAATCCCTACAGGTGCCCCATGAGAGGGCTGTGGGATGTGGGACGTGGGTCCGGGCTCCTGACCTTGGAACTCCTGGGTGGGGTCTGAGGCGATGCAGGAGACAGAGGAGCTCGTGGTGCAGGAGGCGCTGGTGGGTGGGGACATGCCTCCCCGAAGGCCTGCATCTGTCGTCGTGGGACGGGGGGCAGGGTGGGGTGACACAGGCCCCATGTGCACGTGTCCAGGGTTCCCGTCCTTCCCTCCTGAGCTGCCATCTCCACCGTGGCTCACCGACAGTGCAGCGAGGCTCCTGGTGGACTGAGGGTTGGTTGCCCTGTCCAGGCGGCCTCGAGTGCACCAGGACACAGCCTGTCCAGTGTGATCCAGGCACCACGCCTGTGGGCCGTCATCACCGTCACCTGGGTGTGCCGAGGGACTTGTGCTTTCCTGGATCGAATCGCATGAGCCAAGTCGGGGGAGCTGCCCCAGGTGTCTTCGGGCTTCTGCTCCCCAGATCTCACGTTTGCACCCCAAAACCCAGTCTCTCCCCGCAGAAGGGCACGCGACTTGAGTCCAGGAATTTGCGCATGCAGTTTTGAGCCCTGGACACTGGGCCCCGGAGCGCCTGGCCTTGTGTGCAGTTGGGGGCCGGGGCGGAGAAGCTCGTACCTTGCCGTCTGCAGCTGCCCACCGCGGTCATTTCACATGCTGGGGTTCTACACAAGATCCCACCAGAGAAGTCTCCCCTCCTTGGGAAAGTTTGTAAGTATTGAGTCCGTGGCTTGTTTCCCGAGAAGAAGGTGCAGGAGGGTGTGTAGCTGTCTTACTGTTCTCCACCCCGCTGTGCGGAGCCCTCCCCACCTCCCCTGCGATCCAGGGATGCTCCCCAAGGGCCTGACACAGCAACACTGGAGCCCTGGCCCCGTCACCCGGCTGGCACTGTAGGACAGCAGCACTTGCCTCACTGACACTGTCCCCTGCACGTCTACTGGACAGGGTCCAGGCCGGGTGACCCCTTCACCCGCACAACAGGGCACGGCAGGCCGGGCTGGTGGCGTCCTTCCCTGCAGCTCCGATTTGAGCAGGGAGCTCTTTATCTTCCCTCTGAGAGACAATGGGTCCTTTCTCTGCCAGTCTGTCCTCCGACAAGGCCACCGCTTCCCCAGGGAGCCTGAGCCTGGGGCCAGAGGCAGTGGCCCGACACCCACAGCTTGAGGTGCATTGGGCCTGCGTGATCCTGAGACACGAGGCTTCTGAGTGGTCTGGGCTCTCCACAGACCCCACATCCTCAATGAAATGCGCAGAAGAAGTCCAAGGTGCGTGGGTGGGTGCTGCTGTGCGCTGACGTGTGCTGCTGTGCACTGGTGTGTGCTGGCGTGACACCGGAGGGGGAGCGTGTTTTGTCTGGGATCCTTATGTGACACCTCAGACACTAGACAGTCCCGCCCGGACAGACGCTGGTCCAGGGTCACTGCAGGGCCCCGGCCGGGAGTATTTCCGTCTGGTCAGGTGACATTCGCATCACATGGGCGTTGCTCACAGAGGGGCCTCCGGAGGAAGGAGAGTGGCGGTCAGCACTCAGCCTTTGGCCTCGCTTCACTGTGGGTGAGGAGCTGCCCACCAAGGACGCTCAGGCCAGGTGTCAGGACACACTCCTGCCTTGGTGTCTCCATGAGGGCCGGGCATTAGGGGCCACACAGGCCGCAGCTTCAGTCCCTCTGACCCTCTGGGTTAGTCCTGGGTCCCCCCAACCCTCTGGGTCAGTCCTGGGTCCTCCCTGCTCTTCTGGGTCAGCCCTTCGTCCCCTCCCTGCCTTCTGGTCAGCCCTGGGTCTCCCCACTCTGCCCTCCTTTCTTAGGTGAAGGCTCTGCTCCCTTAGACTTGAGGGGACACGGGAAGGTCTGGCTGGAACAGAGGATTTTTTCTAAACCCTGAATCCAGAGTAGCGTGGATGCCTGCGGGCACTGGCAGCTGACAGCTTGCATGAGCCCAGCCTCCGCAGGGTCTCCCGATGGCCCAAACCCTGCTCATGAGACAGGGACTTGCACATTCCTCCCTGAGCCTCAGGTTGACGAAGACCTGTGGCCTCTTCCTGACCCCACCTCTCTTTCCTCACCCCCAGACCCCCCACACACACCTGCTCTCACACCCGGGGGATAGGGAGCCCATACCTGCTGTCACACCCGGGGGGAGGGCAGGGAGCCCACACCTGCTGTCACACCCAGGGGAACAGGGAGCCCACACCTCTGCTCTCACACCTGGGGGACAGGGAGCCCACACACCTGCTCTCACACCTGGGGGGTACAGGGAGCCCACACACCTGCTGTCACACCCGAGGTACAGGGAGCCCACACCTGCTCTCACACCCAGGGGACAGGGAGCCCACACCGGCTCTCACACCCAGGGGACAGGGAGCCTACGCCTCTTCCTGACCCCACCTCTCTTTCCTCACCCCCTGGCACTCCCCTCCCCCACAATTTAGCAGGGACCCAGGAGCCACCAAGGCCACTTCCCGTCACTTGTCCCTGGTGTGAGGCTGTGGCTGGGGAGGCTCATTCCCAGGCTGGAGAGACTGGGCAGGGGTCACTGTCCTTTCGGGCTGTTCTCAGAGCCCACAGCAATCCTGTCAGGCCCTGCCCGGTAACGCGGCCCCCACACAGGACCTGCTGGACCAAGGCTGCCTGCTCCTCCCATCCCCGGGGCTCTCACCGCACAGCCTGCACCCCTGTGCTCAGTGCGCTGAGTCAGCACATCCCTGCAGGGCAGGGAGGACCCGCAGGGAAGAAGGGGCTGTAGACGGAATCGGTGCCGGGATCTGAGATCCGGGCTCAGGCCGGGACAAGGTGAGACCAACCCAAACGTTGCCATGGCCGGCGGCCGACATACCCTTCTCGGGGCTCATTTCTGTGTATGTGATGTTCATGGTCGTCACTCAGGAAAATTCAGAACCTTGGAGATTGGTGTCCAGTGCAGGAACCTGGTGCCAGAGTTGTGCCAGGCCGGCTTTATGGAGCGCCGCGTGTTTCTCCCGTGTTTCCTGTTGGCTTAAACTCAGAAACCTGGAAAATAATGATGGTTTTATTTTTGCCGGTTCTTTTGGTTGGGATGCGACTAGCACGTGTTACCCGCCTCGGACATCTCCAGGAAGAGCCAGTGCATTGTGGCATCTCACACTGGGAGCACGTCTCACGACGGGCCCGTGTCACACAGATGGACGGGCAGGGTGGGCAGAAGGGAGACTTTGGGGCTCTGCTGCCTCAGTCAAGTCTACAGGAACCTTTTCAAATCAAATGATTGTCATTCTTCTATGTGTCTCTTGCCAGGAGTTATAGGCGTAAAGGAAAAACAGTTTTCATGCGGTTGTATTGTCTCAAACAGTGTCAGCTTCTCTGTAAGAATCTCAGGGCTCTCTCCTCTGGAAGCTGCTGTGGCCACTGATCCACTTTGCTCCTCCCAGCCTGTAGAGTTTGGCTCTGGTTTGTTTTCAGTGTGTTTGCTGAGTACAGGGAACATTTTCATTGCCTGATGGTAAGGATTTCGTGTTTAACTGCGCGTGTGCCGCGTTGCTTGAGGTAGTCTGTGAAAGTGTTCACGTTGTAAAATACAGTGTAGGCGCAGTGACAGGCCGTATCACCATGCCAGTCCTAGGGTTGCAGTTTATCTGTGTGGGTGCATGTCCTGTGTGAAGCTTTTCATGCACATTGAATTGTTCTATGCGTTTTCTTTTATTTTTATTTTTTATTTTTTTTTTGAGACGGAGTCTCGCTCTGTCGCCCGGGCTGGAGTGCCAGTGGCGGATCTCAGCTCACTGCAAGCTCCGCCTCCCGGGTTTACGCCATTCTCCTACCTCAGCCTCCCGAGTAGCTGGGACTACAGGCGCCCGCCGCCTCGCCCGGCTAGTTTTTTTTTTTTTTAGTAGTGACGGGGTTTCACCGTATTAGCCAGGATGGTCTCGATCTCCTGACCTCGTGATCCGCCCGTCTCGGCCTCCCAAAGTGCTGGGATTACAGTCTTGAGCCACCGCGCCTGGCCTCTATGCGTTTTCAAATGTAATCCTGAAGACATCTAATCGCAGGGAAGAGAATGTGTGGCTGGAATTTTTTTTTTTTTTTTTTTTGGAGTCTCACTCCCAAGCTGGAGTGCAGTGGCGTGCTCGATCTCCTGACCGTGATCCACCCGTCTCGGGCCCTACCAAATCGGGATGACAGGCTGAGCCACCGCGCCTGACGTGGCTGGAATTTTATTTTGCCTATACTCATTGAGGCCGTATCGCGTCAAGTCGGAAATGCTGGAGACTGGTCCTAGCATTGAGATAAGGGGACGTACTTTATACGGGTTTCCTGCTTGCACTGATGGCCAAGATGCCGGCTTAGACATTACACATCGGGACAGGCCAGGCTTCCTTCCACAGGGCCAGTCCCATCTGTGTCACGAAGCCGTCATGTAGGAAGAGAGACCTGCCCTGACAGCGTCACTCAAGCCGTCCAGCACACCTCCCCCTGAGAGTGCCCCCTAGAACAGAGGAAGACACCCGGCCTAGAGGAAAAACACAACACAGGCCAAAAGACCACCTTCCAAGAATCCTGGAGCCGGCAGGAACCTGGAGTGAGCCCTGGCCGCGCGCCCAGGCTTGGCCGCATAGGCCTGACAAACTCAAGCCCAGTAGAAGTGACCCTCCCAGGGCTTTTGAACTAGAATTTTTTTTTTTTTTTTTTTTGTGAGAACGAGGACATCGCTCTAGGTAACACAACGCACAGGAGACGGGATGACAAATGGACACACAGGGACAACACATCAAAACAAAAAAAAGAAAACAGAAACCGGGTCAGCCATTCTCTTGCCTCACCCCCAATGTAGCTGGACTACAGGCGCTGCTACCACGCCTCGCTAATTTTGTTTTTTTTTTGTATTTTTGAGTAAGACGGGTTCCCCCGTGTTAGCCAGGAGGTCTCCATCTCCTTGACCTCGGTG